GAGCCCGCGCCGGCTGTGCGAGAGGAGCAGAGTGAGCCGCGCGGTGAGTCATCCCGCCGCCCGGCCCCGGGGACGCGCGCCGCGAGCCGGCCGCCTCCGCGCCCACGCGAGGAAGGCGTCTCGGGGCCTGCCCGAGGGCACCTGCCGCGGCTGAGGGGCAGGGAGGTCCAAACCGAGGTGGGCATGTGCAGCCCTGTCTCAAGAAGCTTCAGGTGCGGCTTGGCTTGAGAGGGGAACCGTGCATCACAGGGCGGTGTCATCCGCTTGCCGCCACCCCGCCTTTTCTTCATGCGGGGCTGGGGGTAGCTTGTCACAAATCGCTAGCGTTTGAATCCGGAGGTCAGTTGCGTGAGTGGTGATGGGGCTCGGCGGCGTCGTTTTCAGGTGTGACCCGGGATCACTGAATGGTTGATGCATTTGCGAAAGTTTTATCGCCAGCGCCAAGAAAGCTGTAATTGACAGCCCAACTCTTCGATACCACCGAGTCTGTGCCCAGGAGAATACCCGTGAGCCCTGCATCGCACATCTCAAAAAGGCCTTCACCCAACAAGGCATGGGCAAGTCCTGAGTTGGGGGGGCACTTGCCCCCCAGTGGCCAGTCAGTGATGGGGGGGGTCCCCCTGCAGCTGACTGCACCAACTGGGGGGGTGGGAATGTCCCCACAACCAATTACGCACTTCTGGAAGTGCCAGTGGCACCTCTCCTGGCGCCCCCGCTCCCTAGCCAGCACTCTCAGTGGGGGCACTAGCACTCCCGCCTGCCGCCTAAGGGGTGAACGCTGGCTGCCAGGGGGTGTACCAGTGCTCTCAGGGGTGCACATGCACCCCCATGCATCCCCTATACATCTACCCCCAAGCCACCACTGCAACAAGAACTGAGAGAGAGATTGCATTTTTGAAAGAGCCACCCGGGTATCAAGTGAAAATTTGCTGCAGTACAAAAAGAAAATCCCCACAAATCGCACACCATTAGGTATGACCCTTCCCTGGAACCTGCGCAGAAAGTCCTTAAACAGTTGCAACCCATACTAGAAGAAGACCCAATTCTTATAGAGATCTTTGCAGAACTACCCATCCTAGCCTTCAAACAAGCACCAAACCTCACTAACCTCATCACCAGAGATCCTCATTTTCCCTGATAAAAAGTTGTATTCTCCACTAAAAAATCCACAAATCCTCTAACAAAAAACCCAAAATCCGTGATTAAAATGAAAGGCCCCCCACGGCACCCCCCCAGCTGTGCTCATGCCTTTTACTCCCCCCCATCGTCCCCACAGCCTTGCTGGTGCCCCTTGCCCCCCACCCACAGCCCCTGCTCTCCCAGCCCTGCCGGAGGGGGCCCAGGTGCCAGGGCTTCAGACCCAGGTCTGCAGCCCCCTGCCCACGCTCCCCCGCTGCTGCAGGCTTCGCGGCTCCCTGCCACAGTGTGCACTCTTAGTGGGGCAGGAGAGACCTGTGCCCCCCAGATCTGTATGCAGGGCAGGCGCAGGCTCCCCCAGGGACTCTACAGCACTGCAGGCATGAGCCAGCGTGGCAGAGAACAGCAGGGCCGCACAAGGATCTCCTCACCACTGTAAGCTCTGCACTGGCCTGGTGACATGCCTCCTGCGCATGCCACTGCTTTGAGGGGTGCAGCCCTGCATTGCTGCTCTCACTGCAGCCCCACATACAGTAGGTAAAAGGTAAAATCCGTGGTTTACTCAATTTTTCCATGGGAAACAGAAAACTGAGATCCCTGCTCATCACCAGAAGCAAACTCCCTATAACCCAACCATACCTAATGGATCCAGACCATGCCAAGACAAGGAATGCAAAACCTGTTAACACATCTCCACCACTCCCACAATAACTACACCCCACAACAAAACCATCATCGTTCCTGGATCTTCCAACTGCACCTCCAGAAATATTATATATCTCATCCAGTGAACTAAGTGCCCTGATGGAAAATATGTAGGAGAAATCAAACAACTGTGCACCAAAATGAATGCACACCATAAATCTATCAAAGACAAAAACACCCAGTTACCTGTGGGGGGACACTTCTCACAAGACAATCATTCCCTCTCTGGTCTCTCAGTTCTAATCCTCAAAGGGAACTTACAAAACACCTTTCGTAGTCGAGCCTACGAACTTCACATCATAAATCTACTGGATACAAGAAATCATGGACTCAATGTAGGCATTTGGATTTATGACACATTACAACCTGCCTAACATCTGATGTATCAGGTGCCTGCCAGACCTGACCTCTTACACTTTTCTCCATCCCCCCCCCACTTTTTCTGCCCTTTGTCTTTCTAATTTGCAGCTACTTTTTCACAGACAGCCTCTTTTCTACCTAGAAAATCTATTACTGTAAAGCCTCCCTTACCTTTGGCTTTTTTCCCTTTCATCTCCCACCTCCCTTCCTTGCTCTACCTTTTGTTTTCCTAATTTCCACCTCTTTACATTCTCACTGACATCCTGTCACACTTTTAGCTTCTCTCCTTTGGAGTCTCAGAACAGCAGAGACTTCCTATGCCTGAAAAGGTGATTGTGCCCAAAAGCTTGCAAATAACCTATATCCAACTACCCAGTTGGTCTAATAAAAGCTATTGCATCTAGCCAAAGAACTATGACTGCCTATAATTAACACAAGCATTTCTTTAAAATACTGACTGGAAAACAAAGAGTTAAATCCAATTTTACTTCAGCATCTAAATCAATTGTTCTCAACCCTTTTAGGCTCAAGGCACCAGTCATTTGACTCAAGACACTCCTCCATAACTTTTGGGAATTAAGCAGTAAGCCATTTCAAAAATGAATCTGAGTGCTTACCTCTTTGCAGAGGAGCCAGGCAGTGAGGGCAGATCAGTGGCCAGCCAAGGACTAACCTGAGCCTGTTCTTATCTCCTCACATCTGCTTACCTCTCAACTGCCCTGGCACCCTGGTCTAAATGTACACACCTAGCCACATACCTGCAGTTTTTGGAACTGATATGGTTTTAGAATTTAGCAGTGTTCTTCTAGTCTGTTAAGCATAGTCAATAGGACTGCACTTCAGCCAGACTAAACAGAATTACACAGGACCAATCAAGTCCTGAACTATTTTTCAAGTAAAGACTGCAACTAGCCTATGCTAGATGTCACAGAAAAATCATCAGAGTGGGTCTTTTCAGCTTCTAGCCAAATAGCCTAGTACCCTTAGCAGGGGTTGAACCTATATCTCATAGTTTTTTAGCAAAAGTGCTCAAGTTGCTATGCCATGGGCTAGATCTTTACTCACGCTGTTTCCAGCCCTCCTCTTGAAGTTGGCCCACCAGGAAGCTAAGTGTGAAGGAGCAGAGGGCTAGGAGGAAGAGCCTAAGCCTGAGGGTGTGTGACTCAATAAGATAAATTTTACCCCTGGATGGGTGGCAGCCTTGATTTTTGGCTAAGTACCTGCCCCCAGTGGTACAGGAATTTCCCAGTCCAGTGCTGCTTGTCCATTTTATACAAAGAATAGAAAATAGCAAGGTATATTGGAAGAGCTTCAAGAGAGGAGAGGGATATTCTGAGAGATAGCCAACATGGCTTTGTTGCGGGTCGGTCTTACCTGACCAACCTCATTTCCTTCTATGACCAGGTCATGCATCACCTAGACAAAGGAGAAGAGGTTGATGTAATATATTTAGATGTCAAAAAAGCCTTTGACTTGGTCTCCCGTGATGTCCTCATGGTAAAATTGGGGAACTGCAGCCTTGATAATCTTACGATCCGGTGGCTGGGGAACTGGCTCCATGGTCGGACCCAGAAAGTGACAGTCAATGGAACTGAGTCAACATGGCGCATGGTGACCAGTGACATCCCCCGGGGTTCAGTATTCAGACCAGTACTCTTTAATGTATTCATAAATTATCTGGATTCGGGTGTCAGAACCGGAATGGCTAAATTCACAGATGACATCAATTATGCGGAAGTACAGTCATGCGAGAGGATAGGCTGGCAATTTGGGCTGACCTGAACAGGCTCACAAGGTGGGCGGATCAAAACCTGATGACATTCAACCCAGATAAATGGAAGGTGCTTTGCCTCAGGAGAAAAAAACCCACATTATACTTATAGGCTTGGCAGTGCTACATTCAGTAGCACTATGACCAAAAGACACTTGGGGGGGGTCACAATTGACCACAAGATGAACGTGAGCCACTAATATGATGACACAGCCAGCAAAGCAAATAAAACTCTGGCTTGCATCTGCTGACGCATTTCAAGCAAGACCCAAGAAGTCATCCTCCTGCTGTACTCGGCTTTGGTGAGGCCACAGCTAGAGTACTCATGAATGTCGCATACCTCCCGAGGTTGCAGGGACACGGTGACCACTCGCAGGTGGTGGCAGTGGTGATCATGGCAGCGGGGGCATGGCAGGGGTGAGAGGGGAGCTTCCGCAGGTGGTCACAGCATTGTCAGTGGCAAGGGGGGCTGGGGGTGGCGAGCGCTGACCAGCAATTGGTGACTACCCGCAGACACCATTGGCAGTGGCCAGCGGCAATTGGCGACCGCCTGCAGATGCCGCCAGCAGTGTCAGTGGTGGGGCGTGGTG